TTTGTCGTATGACAAATGTATTATCAGCCTTAAGCCCGTATCAGACTACGGATTGGGATTGGGATTAGATTAAAATTTAACCAATCACAGTAAAGCTTACTAATCTCAAGTTCAGTAACTTTTACTATGATTGGTCAAATTTCAATCTAATCCCAATCTCAATCCGTAGTCTGATACGGGCTTTACAGTGTGTAGTATGTCAAAACCGGTAAACTCCTGAAGTTCTCGTGTTAGCAGTGTTTGCAGCGTCTCTATGTAAAGGCCAACGCGAGAACCATAGGAGGCCGGCCCTGGAATGTACGGTCGTGGTTAGAAAGGTTGTCCGACCGTTTGTGATAAGTTTTGGAACGCAATCTATCATGTCAAAAATTATATGGTTTTTGCTCACGAAATTCTCGTATGTATTATTCCACGGATATTTGTATGTATCATTCCTTTAAGCCTATCACACAATACCAGGCAACAGGCAATAGGAATAGGGAATAGAATTTTTGACGCGTTGGATTCGTCGGAAATTTTCGTTCAACCAATCCAACGCGTCAGAAATTCTATTCCCTGTTCCTGTTGCTTGTTGCCTGGCATTGTGTGATAGGCTTTACTCTAATAATGCGTCACTGCACATATAACTTCTCGCATAGTAGACTGCGTTCCAAAACTTATAATAAGTCGGACAATCTTTACGATGCGAGTCGCAGATGGTAGTCTTAAGAATAATCGACTGCGATTGGTCAATTCCGTCACACGCATAAGAATTGACCAATCATAGTCGATTATTCTAAAGCCTATCACACAATGCCAGACAAGAGGCAATAGGAATAGGGAATAGAATTTTTGACGCGTCGGATTCGTCGGAAATTTTCTTCCAGTTATTTCCAACGATGTGAGTTGTATGTACATGTTCGAGCAACACGGCACGACACGTTTAACAGAGAATTCTCGTATGATCTCGGTGTGTCGGCCAAAAAGCACTTGCTGCGAGTCTTCATTCACGAAAAACAACACAATTTTTATAGAATTTATCTGGTAAGGGAGACTTGTCTATTATCTAATAAGACGGAAGGGATTACCTTGTACCGTCGAGTCAGAGTAAAAGACAGATATATTTATGTCAATTTGATGGAAATAATTTTAGGTGGACCGTACGTGCAATCACGCTAAATCAGGTGCTATTGTTTTGCGGAGGGGAAAAGAAGAGGAAGCGGAAGCTGCGCTGAAAGATCTGAGGATTCGGTTGTACCTAACCTGATTCCGTTTGTACTGATCCTACATGTGTATTAACCTATTCGACGCTACGCTTGGTCAGTTTCTCTCAATAAGAAACGTAAGAGCGGCGGTTCTGAGGAAGGATTAATCTCCGGTACAATGCAGTCCCGTAAAATGGATTTCGACAAATATTTTAAGGTCGATAAGGACGGAGAGTACAATTTGCACTTTTTTAACAAGGACAGACTCAGTGCTTTACAAATTAAAGAGATATTTTCAGCTTATGGGAAAGTTATACAAGTAAACTTTTGCGGTAAAAACGGCGGACTTACATTTATCAAGTATAAAACTTTAAGGGAGGCGATATGCTGTTTGAAATCCTGCTTGCAGGACAATAACATAGAGATGTTGCCAGAGAAAAGTAAAATGGGCAATTGTAATGAAAGAATGGACAACGGAGGTTCGAGTCAACATCAGGTGGCGAGAGCGGAAGACTCGGTTCAACGAACATTCAGGCAGTCGAGTAGCGATGCAATGAGAAGCAACAGGTCGGATTCGTCGGAGTACAACAGAAAATCTTCCTTCCCTTGGCAGCAGACTTCCACCGAGGTTCATTCTTCGGAAGCCACGATAGATTGTGAAAAATATTATAGACAATCAAGAGACGGGACTTATACTGTACATTTTGTGAACAAGAACAATCTCACTGACACAGAGATAACCGAGATGTTTTCAGCTTTTGGAAATGTTTTATCCATACATTCCGGCGGCGATACGCAGAAACTGAAATTTGTAAGGTATCAAATGTTAGAGGAAATAGTGGAGTGTATAAAAGGTATACATAGTAACGGCGTGATAAACCTGCTGCAACAAAAGGATAAAAGGACCAACACAAAGGTAGATAATCAAAGAGATATGAATCAACCGCAGGCAGCAAGGGCAGAGAACTCTTCGCAAAGTGCATCTGGTACATTTGGTACTGACCAGCGGCTTAATTCGAGCTCCGTTCAAAACGGGGAAAGGCCAAGTTACAACCCGAGATTATTGATGAATAAAATGAAAGATTTCGATCACCATTCAGATACCGCCTCTCGCAGTTCACGGCAGGGCTCTAAATTTAGCGATGGAGATGAAAGTAAACGTAAAAATGCAAGGCATTCGCCGATGTCCGATGAGAATCACTCGCACTCAAGACAAAATTCTATGGATAACGGATACAATCGAGCGATGAGAGATAAAGAGACTAAATTCTCTCGCGCGATCAAGTCCGAGACGGACGCTAAACCGGATAGAGGTATGCGAGTTAGGGCGCACAATTACAAAGTACCGGCGTTAGTTTCCGATACGGAAACAATGTTGAGTGACTGCGACGCGATGTCCGATCGTTTCTGGTCAAACGGGACCAGAGATGCCTCGTCCAAGGTCGTGCATATCCCGCTGCAAGAAGTAATTGTCGCTAACATTCACACAAGCTACGGCCTACACTACATCTTACATCTGTTCGAGCAGCACGGGCCAATTTCAGGGACGCTTGTGAGGACTATCGCTGAAAAGGACATACGATACTGTCACGTTTATTTTAAGACTGTACAAGACGCAGCGGCTGTTGAGGAAGAATTTGATAATTTTGATTTAGCCGGAAAGAATTTGATTGTTTTACGAAAATCACACTTAATAAATGCAACTATCTGAAAGTAATTTCGACTTTTTTTAGATACTTTTACATAGGGTGTCATATTTTTGTATTTTGTTTTGCTGTAAAGATGACACGATTTTGACGATTTGATTATTTGGTTTGTATTGAAATAGAACTCTAGCTGACATTCTACTTGATGTAACCTGCTACAGATTTTTTTTATTATAAGTATTGTCATGATATGATAAAAATATGCGTTATTTGCATTTATCTCTATCTCTTATCGATTTTTTTTAACTATGTTACGCACAGAAGAGAAATGCAAATTTTTCATTGCAGTGAATGTAGTTTAATAATAAAATAGAATCATGTTCTCGCACGTAACTTGCAATTAGTTTAATTGTGCTCCTTTGTCTCTCTTACTCTTTGAGGTATTGTTTAAATCACAAATATGTGTATGCATGTGTGTGTGTGTGTATAAATATGTGCTTTTCTACAATCGAATACTGGAATAAAAGAAAAAATGACTAAATGTTAGAAGAGATAAAAATGTTAGGATTAAAATAGTCTCTGTATCAAAATTAATTTCTCTAACACTTCTGTGAAAGATGGGAAATTGCTATTAATTATACATGTGTATTTGCTTTAAAATACTGAAATAAAAATATGCTTTCTCGTATGCGCAACATACAATATATGTATATAAATTTATCTCATCTGACTCATCCATTTGAGAAGTTTGGACATGAACCATAGCTTGTGCACAGTTACCGAGTGAACGGAAGTATTTGACATCCACAGAGGGTGCATCTGTTTCTGAGTAGACTTCCGGTGGCCGCGTTCAGCAGACACAACTGTTGAGTGAGCGCTCAGTATGATTGGTTAATACTTTCAGATCCAGCCAATCATGTTAAGTAATCATTGCGCACGCTCAACAGTTGTGCCTGCTGAACGCGGCCATTGAGTAAGCCGGATCTATTATCTTCATACTCAAAGGATCTGCTCTTTACAGCTGAACTTAGTGCAGCCAGTTCATCTATAAAGAGCAGAGGTGTGCAAGCACCTGGACAACGTAACCTAAAATCAGGCGAGTTTACGTTCTGGAAGTACACGTGTGCTGGGAAAAAGATGCAATTAACAATGTCGAACGGTTTTAATAGACAGAAAATACGCGAACTACTTCATAGAGAGGAGCAATTTATCGGAGATTTATTATCTGTAACGCCTTCGCCGGCGCGCGAATCGGGTATGTTTTTATCGAATAATATAATTCCCCAAATTTAAAGGATTATTTTCTTTTTGTGACGATTAATTGGACGTTTTACATTTTTATTTAGCTGAGGAAAGTCATCTAGCGACGAAGGAGAAGGAGCCTACAAAGAAAGGTTGCTATCTTTTCAACTTATTTGCAAGATAATCGCGTAGAATTCAGTCTGTTATTATTACTATTAAATCCTGTCACTCCTGGTAGAAGTGTAAGGCCTCTAGGAACAAGGATTCCTTTGAGGAACGTAGGGCCTCGTAGAGGTTTTAGTAATTGCTGAGTTTTTCAGGTGAACAAGTGTTTAGCCAATTGCACTGTGCTTGATTTTTTAAGCGTTAGGGCCGCCTCGTGCAGCGTAATCTGCTTAAAGCACAACTATAACAACCAATAGTGGATTAGAGTTTCTCTTGTACACTCGAACAGAAATGTTAAATGGATTTGCGATTGGTTTTCGCTTCGACTTACACTTTACGCAGGTCACGCTGTATGTGATGGCACCCTCAGACTCCCCTATCTATGTGGAGAGCGTAAGATACTCCCCTTTCATTTAGAAAGGAGGTTACCACTTCCACGAGTGGCGATCGAATAAAAACCAACCATTTCTGGTCAGATTTGAATTTGGATCTTCAGTTTATTGGAGCAGCACACAACTCTGCGCCACGATCGCCACAGGACTCAGTCTGCTAGCCAACGAGATTCTATTTATGTTTACATTTTAGTGTAATAAGATGGCAATCAAAATTGTGAGACGATAGTAATTTTTGTTTCAAGGGAGTCCACGTTCTGTCCATTTAGCAAAAGAATATTATCTGTGAACTTCGTTGTTGATAATTTTTTCTGCGTCTTCTATTGCAGCAAAGACTTTTACTACACTGGGCAAGAAACCTGAAAGAGCGCGTACCTTTAAAGAGCTGCATGCAAAATTGGAGGAATTGAAGGGCGTGAAGAAGTTGGATTATAAGCAGAAGCTTCTTAAGAAGACTTTGAAGGCTAAGATCAAGAAGAAGACGAAAAAAGAAGAGCGTTTGCTGCAGAAGAAGCTTGCTAGGATAGAGCAGAACACAGCTGGTGGTAGTAAAATCAAGACTGAAGCTGAGGATGTACCGAAAGTGTCGAAGGCAAAACCAGTTTTTAACTCGGAGGGTAAAATGGTGTTCAGTAAATTTGACTTCTCTGAGATTGGCGTAAAGAAGAAATTACGCAAGAGTCAGAACGACCCTAGAAAGACGTTGCAACAGTTGCAACAGAAAATGGAGAAGTTGAAAGAATTGGAGGACTTGGGCGAGAAAGAACAGGCCGAAGAGATTAGAGAGAAAGATACGTGGAAATCTGCATTGGCTAGAGCGTCTGGTGAAAAAGTATGTACTCACCTTTACGTGTTTATTTTACATGGACATTTGTTTCTTTAGGCCTCACAAAGTCTAACAAAATTGGTCCCAAAGTCTAATAAAATTGGTTTTATCTACATATTTGTTATAAATTTCTTACATTTTGCATCAGCTCATACTTTTTACATTATGAATTTATCACTATTATGTGTTCTTTACATGTAAATTTAGTCGCCGTCTCTAGTGCATATTTATATTATACTTATTTGACAGATTAAAGATGACCTGGACTTGCTGAAACGTACTATAAAACGAAACGAGCAGAGTAAAAAACACAGCGCAAAGAAGTGGGATTCCAGGATAGAAAACGTACAGAAATCTATACAGGAGAGGCAAGAAAAACGGCGGGAAAATATTATGAAGAAGAAGAAGGAGAAGAAACAGAATAAATTAAAAAAGGCAGCGAAAAAGGGACGCATAATACCTGGATTTTAACCGACTTTTTACATAGCTATAATTTGCATCAAAGTTACATTGTAAAATACGTTTGCGTTTTTAAGAGTAGTTTTTTTTTTAATAATTTTGTTTAATTTACTATACACGCTTGATTGTCAAAAACCCATTCTGTTCGTCGGTCTGATATAGAAAGACAAAATATTCTATGTTATGTCTTGTATGTCGATGTAGTGTAAAATACTGTAAATTAAACAACGTTTCTGTGTACAACGTATTGATCTACGTATAATACAGCCACGAATAACTTTATTCATGTAATTTCGTTTGTACATCAATGAAAAATCTACTTACATCGATGCTTTAGTCTTGTAGACCAGCTACATCCTACGGTGACCGGGATACGTCTAGGATTGTAACTATTGTGTAAAAAGCTCTACTCGCCGGCGTCGCGAGCAAACGGTATAAAATTTCACGTCGGTCGCAATTGTTCAGTCGCGGTCTACGTACACACGTACATTCGTATTAAGAGGCCGGCCGCACGATGCTCCACTTTTTCAACATCATCCTGTTGTAAACTTGGTTTTATTTACTTCTCTCGACGCATCGTATATTTTTCTGATATCCCGCGCGATATGGTAGTGCTTGAGTAAGGATGTCCAGCTTCCTTCCGATGCTCCACCAAGACGTCTATTTCCAGAGTGCGGCCGGTCAGTAAATGATTGGCAGATCCAGGACGAGAGCTTCGATTAAGCCGCCGTCATCCACCTCCTGCTAGGTATCTCCCAGCGCCGCGGAGACCGCATTAGCGTGTGTCAAAGCCGTCCATAACGGACTGCGGTCCTCTGGCACCGCCAAGGACTTTGATGGTCGCGGGGACCTGCGACAACAGGGAACGCAACCGCGTCTGCAGGACATATTAACACATTACGGAGACTTATCCCAGGGGACACCATCTAACTGTTACATAACATTTATAATATAATGTAATGTACTACTCAACGATATAATAGTTATATAGAACTTAATTGTACAAATTGTACAAATTGTGTTAATATTGACATTGTGTAACTGTTAATTGGTGTTTGCTGGGATTAATTTTTATGTACTAATAAATCCCGAACGGTCAGGTGTTACTTTAAGGACCGATTGTTCCAATGTCGGACAGCTTTTTAGCAAAGGGTAAAAGTTACCCGACGGATGGAACAATCGATCCCAAATCTCACAAATATCGTACAATGAATTCTATGAACAATCGGCGTACATCCAGTTCAGTCTGTTTGATGTCATTTTTAAATGTTATTTGTCTCTTGCTCTTTAATCCATTTTAATCTCTTGCTTTATATTCTATTGTACTCTCTTACTTTCATACGCCATCGACAAAAATATATTTTGCTAACAAGATGCGCTGAAGGTGCCGTCAATGCCTATCGTTTTATGAAACTTGATGGACCTGATGAATATTCCGTTGGGACGAGCGGCCGGTGAAATTAGTATGCATCGATATTTTTCATTCAATAAAGGCGTCCTGCGCCGAACTTTTTCTCTATTTTCACGCGTAGGCTTGGATACTTCGATTTGAAAAATCGCGCCTCCCCCGTGTCTCATTATATCGTGAACATTAATCGCAATCGCCGTCGACCAATCAGCGCGCGCGTTAGAACGCGTTGTGCGGGACGGACGAAAGGGTTTTCTCAATTCGCGTCGGTCAGTGACGAGGAGGTACGCGCCTTTTCCCCGATTTTCTTATCCGATCGTGCGACCCGTTCGTCTCACGAGGTATCGCGTCCGATCGCGTCGCGGCAATCGTTCAGCTAATCAGTTTACGTCGGTCCGGCGGAGAAGCGTCGAGTCGGTCGACGCTCGCAGGCGATATGGCTGGTGCGCGTAGTCGAACCGGCGCCGATTAAACGCGACTGTTTTCGCCACGCTCGCAGGTGAGACGTCACTTTCCTCGTTTATTTCAGAATTCGACGAATTCCGTCGAGAAAGAGAAACCGACTGGACTCTCATTGTTTGCGCTGTAAGCTGTAACAAGTGAGGTTAAAAAAAATGAAAAATCATTTCGGAAATGTTCGCGACGCTACGAGGGGCGTGGGGGGGGGGGGAGCGAAGGAGGGAAGCTCGTTCTACGAGAACTTTATATTAATTTCGAAATCGTGTTTTCCTGCCAGGTAAAGACAAACGTCAACCGGAACTTCATCGCTCGCGCATAATAAGTGAGGTAAAAAGTGAGAAATCATCTTCGAGAATGTTCTACGCCGGTTGGGAAAAGGAGAGGAGGTTGCGATCATTTCGGTACGAGGGCGGTCCAATCAGCGCGTCCCCCTTGCGCCGCGCAATTCGGATAACTTCAGCTCGCTGACCGGCGGCGAGGAAAGGGGGAGGAGAAGCGTCGCTTCGCGTGGCGCTCGCGAGCTTTTTCGGCGGTCCCTGGTTTTTTTCCAGGGGAGGAATATCGAGTTGGATCGCGACGCTAATCACCGGGCAGGTTGGATTTTCCTCGGCTCGACGAGTTACTCGTGTGAGTTTTTGCGGATTTTGTGCGCAGTTCCCCCCTTTTTTTTTGTAGCGCCGTTGTCCGCGCTTGTTTCTCGATTGACGCGGTCGCTCTCGGCGCAAAGACTCGCGGGACGCGGTCTCTCTATTAATTTTAAAATGGCGCCCTCGCAGAAGAAGCGTCGACGCGGAAATTATTCAGAAATTTTTATCGCCCGCCGATACGAGAGGTGAGACGTGAGAAGTTGTTTTGCGTAAGAGATTCTTGGCGCCGGTTCATCCGACAATGCTACTGTAATATTATATGACGCGTTCTCGTTCTGGACTTTCAATCACAATATTTTACATTTACGATATAAAATATCTTTTATATTATCTCTTATGTATGACATTTTACAGTATCTTACGTATTGTATGTTTCTTTATAGACTCTAATTATCTTAATTGTGATTTCAGGTGCAGCTGCTGTCCGACTATAAGCACCGTCTTCTACGCACGCGACTCGTACGATTCGAATAAATTGAGTAAAAAGGCGGCGGGGAAAAAGAGAGTCACGGAGCAAGACTGACGGATGGAGCGACGTATAGTTTTACCCATGGCTCACGGTTTTTTTTTGCGATCTTTCATCCACTCGCGCGCGTATTCGTTGCGGAAGACATCAGTCCTGATTGTATCGCGTCTCCGTTAATTAGCGGACAGCGTCGTTTTTGTCGCATTAGTCATTTAATCCGCGAATCGAGTAGAGCTCGCATAAAACTATTAATTTACAGGGAGATTCTGTAATCGTCTGTCGGTCTCGAGTCCTTATTCGTTTTAGAGAACCGCGTTTACTCTTTACGAAATAAATACCAAACCCGCAGTTAATTGGAGACTTTTATTGCGTGGGATATGAGATCAGCGAAAACTCCATACGTTTTCGCGGG